TATGGCTCGCGGCTCGACGCTCACGATTCAAGGGAAGAATCGCCTGTTCCACTGCCTGACAGTGCAGCCCTTCGTGGGAGCTGCAGACAGACAGGCAGAAAAGCGAGCTTCGCCCTCTCGGAGATGCTGCTGATGTTTGTGCTCTCGTTCATTTTTTGTGCACGGGGAGAGTGAGGAAAACAATTATTTTATCTTGTCCTACTTGATATTCCAGAACCTGGTTATCGATGGCTGGATTAGAAAGGAGATTGCTCCTAGCTCTCCCATAGAATCACAGAATCACAGAATGTTCGGGGTTGGAAGGGACCTCTGTGGGTCATCTAGTCCAACCCCTGTGCCGAAGCAGGGTCACCTACAGCAGGCTGCACAGGACCTTGTCCAGGCGGGTCTTGAATATCTCCAGAGAAGATCATTCAGCTTTGACATTTAACTGGTTTGCTGGGATAGATAGTGCCCTTCTCTGCCTTCTGGGTGTAGTTTCTCACTATCGGTTTATAAACCCACCTTCCTTCAGCTGCTCTCTGCCGTAAAGCATCCAGCAGTCCGAGCAGCGGAGCAGAGAAATTTCCCAGGTGGTGTCCTTGTCACTTCATATTGCAGCGAGTGACAGCCAAATGACTACCCCATCAGGCTGCCTGTGCCCCACATGCTCTTCTCCACCTGCTGCTCCGTCCAGTTTCTGGTGGTGCAAGAAACAGGAGCGGTACAGGGGCGCGCTGTGGTCAGGCGGCGCCTGGGCCACAGGCTTGCCCGCATCCCGCCGACACTGTCTGTGCAGGTGGGAGAGGGGTGTGCTGTCTGCCTAGCAGCGCCAGAGCAAAATGCTTTCCTTGCCACCCCCTTCAAGAAAATATGACTGTGCGTTAAGCAAAACAAGAGAGCTGAGCATGCACGCGTGTGTCCGTGAGTCATGTTCCCCTCGCCGCCTGGCACCGTTCCCAGACGCGAACCTGAGTAAAACATGTCACGCGCTGTTGACTCTGTTACAGTAACTGGCACTAATTCTGCCATGTTGCATTCTGACAAAGCGGTCGTATCCAGACTTACTGTCACGACTGGCATGTCTGTGCCGTGTTTCGATGGTTTTCATGGAGCCTTCAAGCAAGTTGTAACCACAACAGTGCCGCAGAATATGGTGGGAGCAGTAAGCTTGACCTTTAAAATAGATCCCTCCATGTTTCCAGGTATCCTTTCTACAAGTCACTGCCACATTAGAAATTGAGCTCCCAGTTCAGGGAAGCATTCAAGCATGTGCTTAACGCCCATTTACTTCAATTTTGCTGCACACATATATCTTCTTTGCCAAAACGGAAAGTAAAGGAAGGGTTTTTTTCTTTCTTGGAAAGTGATACTAGAGAAAAGACTCCAGGAGTAAGTTCTAACTGAACAGTGACATCTATGCACATGGTTAAGTGCTTATATAACTAGGGATACCTGGCTTAGGACTGAGAAACTACAATTAACCATCTCAGAAATTGAATGCTGCCATATTTCCAGCAGAAGGGTAAAAGATCCAACTGAGATTTGTTCTTGTAAGGCTGCTGATTCAGACACCAGAATATGGTGAAGTAGATTCTGGCTTGTAGTGTGCAGAGGCACTTTGCAGGTGAAAGGATGGAGAAACAGAGCTCTAGTGATAAGCAAGAGCGGTGGTTAACAGGGCTAGATGCCTCATTTTCGCTGATTATCTATCTCACACAAAACTAACTGTGTATCCCTAACACACGAGGGACCTGTTGGAGTCACGGGACTGGGCTCCTGAAACCTGTCCTGAGGGCATGGTACTTTGGCACACAGAAACCTGCATCAAGCATCCTCCGAACTCCT